TTTTTTTTTGACAGGATCTCTCTCTGTCATCCAGAGTAGAGTGCAGTGCACACAATCATACCTCACTGCAGCCGCAACCTTCCAGGATCAAGGGATCCTTTCACCTCAGTCTCCCAAGTACCTGGGACTACAAGTGTGCACCACCACACCCTGCTAATTTTTCAATTTTTTTGTAGAGGCGGGTGTCTCAATATGTTGCCCAGGCTGGTCTCAAACTCCTGGTCTCCAGTGATCCTCTTGCCTTGGCCTTGAACAGCTCTGGGATTACAGGCATGAGCCACCGTGCCCAGCCTGGTAAACCAATCACAATGTTTTGGAATGAGCAAAAAAGAAAATGTTTCACATAGAAAATTAATTAATTTGTTATTTAAATGAGAAATGAGACAATATGACTCATGCATCTAAACTAATCAGGCATCAAAATAAGTAATTGTCATTACATAGAGCAAAAATAGGCATAAATCACTCTATTTCCCAAAAGTCTGTGAAACCAAAAACAACGTCATTGATAATATTTTATTAGGAGAGAAAGAAGAATGAGTTGTTGGTAAACTTATCTAATGGCACCTTTTTGATGTTACATTCTGCCAATGGCATAGGACGTGATTGAGCAATCGGCATCCGACAGGCATGCTGCCCTTTACAGTGAGATCAAAGCATTTTTTAATGCAGAGTGTGGATCAGCTTTTGGCAAATGTACTTTGAATAAGAAAAAGTGCCCGATAACTTCTTATTTTGCTTAGCCTTAAAAACATACACTACAGGAGAGAGGTTTCTCATTTAGGTACCACCTGTTTTAGCGAGACAAGAGTTAAACTGGAAATGGCATGTTGGGGTCAGAAGCAAAGGTGCACCAGCTATGTGTGCAGTAAGGGAAAGCTTTGCCACAGGGATAATGGGGGCTGCTCTTGAATGCCAGTCCACACACTGTTTATTCTCAGAGAACAGGTCACCAATTGGAAGTCACCAATATACCTTCTGATCTTAATTTAGTGTTGAAAGAAATTATAAAACCTATGACTCTGATTCAATTGTAGAGCCTGGGTGTATGCCTTCTCAGCCTGCTGTTCAAATAAATAAGCAGCAAGTACAAGACTGTCACAATATGTAAGTTGGCTAACTGTTGAGGGGAAAGGTGCTTGCATTGCTTGAACACAGAATGGAATGAAAGATTTTTTTCATGGCACTGTTAAAATCAGCAAAGACCATCTCTATGATTCAGTCAATATCTGAATAGTTTAAATCTAACATCTTAGAGGTAAAATATAATATTTAATGTTTAGAAAAATATATCAAAACATATTTAAAAGACTGAATTATGGTAAAGGCAGCTTTTTCATCTAGAATTTGGATCTTTCTCAGAATGTGATAATCTTTTCCTTCCATCAGAGAAATCAATAATCGATTAAGCACTTTTTAAAAATGCATACAAATGTCACAGCAAAATATAAATATTAAGAATTAAAGCAACTGAAAGTAGATAATTAATTCATTTCCTGCTTTCTCCCAAGTTAAAATATCCAGACTTCTAGCTTTGGACATTATATTCCAAATTAGTATGTGAGAGAATGTTGAAGTAACCTTCAATGAAATCTCTCTCCATCTTTTCAGGCTCTTCACTGATCTCAATGTCTATAATTATCTGACAAGTCAGTGGGTGCAGTGGCTCACACCTGTAATCCCAGCACTTTGGGAGGGCGAAGCGGGTGGATCGCTTGAGCCCTAGAGTTCAAGACCATCCTGTACAACATGGTGAAACCCCATCTCTACTAAGAACACAAAAACCAGGTGGGCATGGTGATGGGCACCTGTAATCCCAGCTACTCAGGAGGCTGAGGCAAGAGAATCGCTTGAACCCGGGAGGTGGAGGTTTCAGTGAGCCAAGATCACATCATTTTCACTCCAGCCTGGGTGACAGAGCGAGATTCCATCTCAAAAAAAAAAAAAAAAAAATCTGACAAATCACCCAACACTCCCATTTCTGATGACTTACAATTGCACATTTGATTTTTTGGTTTTTGGGTTTTGAGTTTTCTTTTTTTTTTTTTTTTTGAGACAGTCGCTCTGTCACCCAAGTTGGAGTACAGTGGCGCAATCTTGGCTCACTGTACCCTCAGCCTCCCGGGTTTGAGTGATTCGCATACCTCAGCCTTCCAAGTGGCTAGGACTACAGGTGTGCGCTACAGTGCCTGGCTAATTTTTGTATTTTTTTAGATATAGATGGGGTTTCGCCATGTTGCCCAGGCTGGTCTTGAACTCTTGAGCTCAGGTGACCCACCCACCTCAGCCTCCCAAAGCTCTGGGATTATAGGCATGAGCCACCATGCCTGCCCACATTAGGATTTTCTATTTTCATGTTGTAAAAGGTTAAAATAAACCAAGTGGATGTGAAACATGACTGGCAGTTCAAGGTATATTCATTACGGAGTCTGATCTTCAGGTATCAACACTTTGGTGAAATAAAACAATATTGTCTATTAAACCTATGTAAAACAAGAACTATTAACATTTAAATGTTGTATATTGTTTACCTTATCTATAAGATGTTTATAGAGTGCGATGTATGCACTGACAATCATGAAAAGCTTGCTGCTGCTAAGAAAAAAAAAGCCATAGATTCATTTTATTTCAAGTCTGAATAAACAAAATTTTGAGCAAAATTACTCAAAATTACATTGAGGTTTGGAATAAAACACTCCTTGTAATAAAACAAGTGACCTTGTCTTCTGCCTACAGATCCCTGGAAATCTCATCAGAGAGGGTGGAGAAGATGGGGGAGAGATCTTGTAGGATGTCAGGATTTGAGTATCTCAGGTTTCTGGCTACTTTTCTTTCCTTCATGTTCTCACAATTTATTGGGATTATTTAAATTTTTGTACATAAATATCAATATCATTTTGAAAAAAACTGTTATATAGAAGATTTTTGTAGCATTTATGCTAGCTTAATTGAAATATTTTTGCTCTCATCTTTTAATATCTAATGTAATTGTTTATTGCAATTTAAATAATGAAAATGTTTATGTTTCCTATTCTCATTTTCTATTGAAACTTGGAATTTCATAATCATGCAGTCATAGTCTCACAATGATAATAATTGTTATGCATCTGTATGTTCCAATGCAGAAAAATTTTATTGCATATGTCTTCATTTCAGTAATGCAATGGTAAGCATTTGTTTCCAATACAATTGCAAGCTGTTCTTAACGTAAACATCAGTATTCCATCAGCCTCACAAATCCACAAGGAACCGCACTTCAGTAAGCATCTGCATTCTTATCTTCATTTCTCCAGGGAATACATTTTTACTTTGGTAATTTTGCCTGTATTTTTAGGATTAAATGTATGCCTCTCACACTGGAGTGAGGAGGGGCATACTAATTTATCACTAAGTAGGCAGTCCATCTCCTAACACTTAGAAAGAAAAGAAGAGAAAAGTTAAAAAAAAAAAAAAAAAGATTCCACTGTCTTTTATCACTGACCTGTTATGAGAGTTTTCCAAGTATTTTGGATGAACCCAAGAGAAATCATATCATCTCTGTCCATGGTAGCGTGTACTAGCCTGCATGCATTTTAGGTGGTAAAAAAAATGCAAGAAGAAAAAAGGTATTTGTTTTTCCCACCAAATGGCCAGTCTATTTCTTGGTCCTACCATTATTTTGGTATCTATAATAAGCATTAAGATGTTCATTTCAAGACCAGGGTAGCCATCAAAGGAATTGGTCATGATAGGCAATGCCAGGTAAATTAGAGTAAAAGCCACTTGCTTTCTTCTCCCCCTTCCATTTAAACATTTGAGCCTAATGCTCTTTGCCAACAAATTGTGTTACTGATACTACCAGTCTCTAACAGTAATTAATGATAAGTATAATTTAATAAGTGCATGTTCTATGCAAATAAGTGAGCTAATTTCATATATTTCTTCATTTAAAACAGTTACGATCCCATGAGATACGTATGACTTCCTCCAGTGTACAGATTAGGTCATTGAAGCTCATAGAGTTCAGTAACTTGCCTGAGGCAATGTGGCAACTAAATGTGGAGCTGTCATTTCAGCATAGGTCTTTGAGACTCCAAAGCCTTTACTAAAGTAATAAGACAGACCAATTTCCTAAGGCTTTATATCATTCTGTTCTACCAAAAAGTATTGTGAATCCTTCAGGAAGAAAAGCTATGCACTTTCCTTCAACCATCATTAACTAAACAAGTTATTTTATTATGCTCTCTAGGAAATGTATACGTAAGAATATGAACTATTTCCCCCAAAGAACTTGGGATCTAAGCATAAAGATTATACAAATGCAAGAATAATCATAACACAACAAAAAATGGTAAGTATCATGAAAGGAGCACAGATGGGTTTTGTTTGATAGAGAATTAACTTCCAGCTAAGGATACCAGAAAATCTTCATGAACACAGGCCAGAGATGGAAATGTAAAAATGGAGATACATATTAACAAGAAAACATGGATAGCCACACACAGCCACATGTTTTAGGAGGTTCTCACACCTCCATCATTCACAGGGCTGGTGGATGCTATATGCCCTTGAGCAAATTATATTTTCTCTTTGACCCTATCTCATATAAATTGAAGGGAATGGCTTGTAGGATCAATAGTCTATATCTCTATGTTCATATTTTGCTTAAGTTTGGAGCCAAAGGGGAAAAAAATCCAAGGGAGGGAAGAGAAATTTATCATATACTCCTGAGCACTGGTTGCAGAGGAAAGTTAAGGTGGGCATTGCAGAGATAAGAGAATATGGAAGTTCTTCTACAAGCCCAGAGGCCTGGTCCTGGGAAGAACCTTTCTATGGCCACAAGAGGATAATGCTTGATGTCCATCTTGCCCCCACCCTTTGGAGAACTGTACTCTTATCTCCTCTTTGACTTACATGGTTGACATGGTAAGACAGGATGCCGGCTGGTCTTCAAATTCAGGCTGCTTCTTTCGGCTGGCTGGTAGACTGCCAGGACTCAGGTGACCTTCACAGATCAGAGTTCTAAAAGAAATTCTTATAATGCTACAATTCAGGAAACATAGATTAAATACAAAGTATAACACTGGTTTGGTATGTAGGCGTCCAGTAAATGTCTACCAAAAACCAGGAAGTATGTGCTTGAAACAAGCCAAGGGTAGCTTTCCAAATGACCTAGCTCTTCTTTCTCTGATGGTAAGTCAGAGGGTCCTGCTTGAGATTTGAGAATTTCCCTCCCATTAGCTACCCTTTTTATATTTTATTGGCAAAAAGTAACAGTATACTTTTCGAAGAAAACTGTGTCATAAAAATAGACATTGAATCAATGGACAATTAGGCATCCATTAACAAAAATTTGCCGACTATGTTCTTAGGAAAGTGTAAATGAAGTAGCATTAAGCGAAAATGTCAAATAAAAATTATTATACGTGTGCTATAATTATTATAATGGCTCTATGTGGAAAGATTTAAAATAAGCCAAGAAAAGATGAAAATAGTTGCTTAAATAAAAAGAATAAAGATATACTTTGAGAATCTTGTTTAATAATAATTTTTTATAAAAAATATTATCATATTTCTTTTCTTTGTTGTTAAATATCCAAACCATGCAGAGAATGTAAAAATCTTTATATGATCTCATCTCCTTCCCCACTCCCAAAGGGTAACCACTTGTAACAAGCTACTGGAATACTTCCAGACTTCTAATGAATATACAACCATACTCAAACACATATTTCTTCATAAATGAGACCATATTCTGCATTCTGTTTTATAACCAGATTTTTAAATTTTATATATAGTTTTTATGATAGTGGAAACAATATAAACTTAAATATTTCAATATAAAATTAAAGAATAAATAATCAATTAGAGACAAGCCTAGAGATTCAAATACAGATGACAATGTATAGTCTTTTCTTTATTGCCATCAAGATTCCAATCAGGTGAGGCTCGACATTTCCTCAATGCCGCAGCCTAATAACAAGGTCTCGTCCTCCAACATTGGAAGGGAGGGCAATAGAGTAATTCTGATGGTTTGGGGGAGGGGGATTGTGACTTCAGCCCCCATCTGTCATGTTGTGCCTGGCCCGTCAAGACAAAACTCAATGGACCTCTCCACAATAAGGAAAAAAGAAAAAGTTGCCTCTTTTATTATAATAGATGTGGAGCCCAGAGAGTCCGTAAGTGAGCCACAGAGACATGGCTGGTGAAAAGCTGCCTCATATGTGCCAGCAAAGCCCACAGGCTTGGTTTCGATTTTCTGTGTTTACACCCTACTTTCCATGGAGAACAGCAATCTATATCCTCTGGGTCTCCAGTCTAAGTGCCTTCTCTCCCAAGGGATACTTCTCAGCTAAAGGAGGTTATTATTCATTATCCTTATGTCATTCTAGCTAATAGGACTGAGATTTTCCTGAGGTCACATGGCAGTGTTACTCCACCTTAGAACCAGGCAGGCTGGAAAAAAATGCCTTCTCCTTCTGCTCTGTAACTATTAGAGTAATGAAGCAGTGTGAGATTATGCAGCTTAGTGTATGACATTTTCTTGGAGAGCAGAGTCTTAGAAAGGGAGGCCTGGAAAGTTCGTTTTAAGGTAGAACAGCTTCATTGAAGCCTCTGAGAGACACTGGGGACCTATGAAGACTGGCCAGCTCTAAATATTTGCAAATGTCCGATATAAGCATCTAATGCATGCATTAGATCTTTCAATGAATTTGTGATGCTCTAAAATGTGACAAACTCTTACGTTATTGTTCCTAGACCTAGCAGACATTGTTGGTGCTCTGGCCAGATACCCCTTGGATTTTTGTTTCTTTTTGCTGTTTACTATCTCAGCATATTCTTCCTCCAATTCCAGTGGGCTTTTGGCTTTAAAGGCTCACAGCCATGACCCTCTTCAGAAGAGTTTTGTTTCCCTGTGCAGAAAGCTGAATATCTGGGATTTATATCCTCTAGGGGTTGCCTTTAGCCAATGACAGACTAGTGAAGAAGTATGAAAGCCCAGCTCCCTTGCCTCAGTGGGGATAGGCTGACGTGTACTTTACATTCCAGCACACCCTATGGAATCAAACTGAAACTGGAGCTTTGCAAAAAATTGCTGGGCTTCTTTGCATTCCATGTCCTGTTTCCCTCACCACCTTACTGGATTCTTCTGGGAGCACTTTCTTAATAACTCACACACACACACACACACACACACACACACACACACATACATCCTTTTTTCAGGGTCTTTTTCTGGGAAATCTTTCTTAGGACAACTGCCTACAGAATGCCAGCCAGATGGGGTCAACAGCCTCTTTGCTACTGAACCTCTTAAAAAACAACTGATGATACCCAGAAATGAGTTGTCACTAACAAGCTGGAGGCGTGATTAGAGACAAAGAAAGAATACAAAGCAGATGGATGAGCATAAAAGTAAGGCAGAAAAAGGAATGGAAAGAGGAAGAAGAATGGTGAGAAATTATAGGAGAGTCATTCATTTATTCATCCACTTGTTACGTGTTATTTTTATTCATGTTACACTGGAAAAAGTTTTAAATAAGAAGGAAAGTCTCTGGGTTTTTGTTCAGACTCCATAAATTATTAGTTGTTTGGTCTTAGACAAGTCACTCAGATTCTCTGAGCTTCTGTTTTCTTATCTGTAAGTCAGGGATCACAGTATCTAATTCATAAGATTAACAGGAGGATCAAACAAAACTATAGAAGTAAAAGCACCTTGAAGTTGTCATGCAAAATGAAATGCTGCCTTTAATGAGCATTTTGTGTGCCTAACTATTTAGACTACATTAATAATTAACTGGCTATAGAAAGCATTTAAGATATGATACTGTCCT